TGACCCGGAGCCTGAGGAGCACTGACCTGGTTTCCCCTCGTCAGTGACCCTGATTAGTACTTTCTGTATTTTAAGAACATAAGAAATTTACAAACGCAAGGAGGCCATTCGGCCCATCAAGCTCATTTGGGGGGTATTTTATTTGAATACCAACAGTGCTTCTACCATGGTAAAATCCTTGAATGCTAGAACTCACAAGTCACCTTCTGCTCACAATGGTCAGTATACTTCAGCAATTTAAATGAAAAGGTCTATTTATTTAGGGGGGGGGGGGTGAATGAAGCTAAATTAAATATTGAGAGGACATGTCCCCCCGGTTCATTTAGTTAAGGTACCCAGTGAAACATATATTTGGTCTGTCCTGTGAGAGACCAGTTATCCATTTCCAGAAGAAGGATATATTATTGGCTTTAAAAATATTTACATAATGCTGAACTGTCCATGTCCAGAGATATGTACACATGGAGAAGCCTGGATTCACAGGTGTGACGTTTAAGGAGATCCCACATTTTTTGACAACTCACTGTTTTCACCAAATTCATAAAATACTGGTTACACATTTGAAAACACCTAGAACTAGCCTTGAGATAAATGCCTTAATCTTTGAATCTTCCTCTGCCTCAGTCCCCATCTATTGCTGCATTGATGGTTATGTACCATTAACGTATGGGATTTTTGCAAGCTGTCAGGGACTTGTTAAAGTTTCCTTTAAACATTTATTTTTGTTACATTTTTAGGAGACGAGCCAATTAGTATTGATTGCATGCCAGATGGCTATTGCTTCGCTCTCTTGACTGCTCCTGGTCCTCAAGGACCCTAGAACGTGTGCAAGGAGTGAGGTTCCCCTTCTTCCAAATGCATGGCAGGCCTGTATTCAAATACAAATCACCCAGAAACTAGCAATCTGCTGCTGGTTTGACCCTGGTGCACGTCTCTGGTATTAATCGTTCCCCAAGCAATAGGTGAGTAAAGCGCTCGTCCATTTCCCAAAAAGCACGACGATATATGGGAAACCTCTGCTCCATTAAGCTTAATCATCACCGCAGCATTAATGATGGTTTTGGGAGAACAATCAGTTTTGTTCTTATTTTCCCCATACATTTCAAGGTAAAATAAAAACTGAATTTAAGGCTATTGGGTATTATCATACACCCATGAGATTTGCACATAGGAGTCACTAGATATTTTGGGGCCCATGAAAGCATATCATATTGGACCCCCAACCCAGACCAATCCATTTATGTTTCTAATTTTTTTAGGGTCTCTGTAACTCAGGGGGCCCTTGGAATCATCTTAGCTGCCTCAGCACCCCCCCCCTCCTTTACAGCACCCCATGTGATTTGCAGTGTACGTGCTTTTTATAAGCAGATTTTTAAAAATCTCATAGGCTTTGAGCTGTGTAGGTAAAACGAGACCTAAAACATCAGTAGTATTTACAACACATTTGCCTAAAATATTCCGTCCAGTTAGTTAATCCCTTACCTGGTTAAAACAATTTTTGAATAGGTTAGATTAGTCTTTTTTAGTGCATAAAGTCATGTACTCTTGACTGTTTGCTGTTAAACTGTAACCTTTTCTTTTAATAAACATGGATATAACTCAGTTTGATTGGTTTACATTCCATTACTTGTAGGTTTTTTTGAGATTGTTCACCTGCATTGATGATGCTCCAGAAGGTACCTGGGCACAAGGCCCTGGCCTCCCCCACCAGGTCTTTGGTCCATGTATTATTTACTCAGACGTGACAGACAATTAAAGTGGTTTTCCTTTCACTTCAAGATTCCCAGTCAACATAATGCGCAAATATAGGTTATATTCCCTCTGGCTACATTGTAACCACAACCCTCACCAGGAAAAGCAAAGTGAAAATTAATATATGGATATATTTATGGACTACAGACAAATGTGTGCTTTTTATGAGCCAAATGGAGGCTGGTTTCAACTCCTAGGGGTATTAGGGTCCTGTTGTGCTACTTCCACATGGAAGCAAGCAGGTGCAAATGAACTGTGAGCTGTCCACTGCTTCCATAATGCAGTGCTGGAAAGACACATAGAGGTTACTGCAGGTCGTGCAGGAGAGGCATGCGAGGCAAACTCTTTGGCCACTGATGTCACAAAGCTGTCACAGTCCTGCTGTTGCTCCACAGTGTATAACCTGAAGCGGCTCTCTGAAATGTTTAAGCTGTGGTGATGAAAGTGTTTTACGCTTATAAGCTCAAATTTGAGAAGAAGCTTTTTGTTGGTTTTAGAAAAAAACTCCCCCCCCCCTGCTTCTGTACAGTAAACAAAGTACATAAAAAAATTATTTTAAAAGCCCGCATTAATCCCATTAGGACACTTGAAAGACAGATGGCTGAAATTCGTGGAGAAAATTTCAAGCTACCAGGATAAACTAAACAGCTTGTTCCGGCAAAACTCCATTAGTGATTTATTTTTCAGCCGTCATCTGTCTTGCGAGAGACCAATTATCCATTTCCAGTAGAACATAAATAATATTATGTACATGTGAAATCAATTTATTTGCAATAGCTATTCTTAAAATTTGGCTGTTGTTCTACATGACAAAATTTGCATTCTGTTTTTTTTTTTTTTTTTTTGCACAGCAGGTTAGTCAGTCGACCAGGAGGGCTATTCTGCAGAACCGACATGAGAACAAACAGAGTGGTGGCAGGAGAGGAGACTTCTTCTCATCACGGCGAGAGCTTTATCGGCAGCCTGCAGGGAAGCGGTGACCTTCCCTGCACATACGCTTCACAGATCCACCCTGCGGACCCAGGCACGGCTCTGCCAAAGGTCCTTTTACCAAAAAGCATTTACCGGTTGTTTCCTTCTGGTCATGCTGCATGCAAGAAAGTCGAAGTCAATAGACAACCTCTTAGCCGGTCCTGCAAAACTACTAGATGAGATTTATGCACCTAAAATATAGGCTTGTAAACACAGAATGCAAGAAAAACGTACACACTGAAAGACAATTCCCGGACATTGCTGTCGTTTGCTGGATTGTCATTTGTATTACGTTTATGACTTTAGTCAATCCCCATCTGCCTATCAGTGTTTCAGGATTGAATATCACTGGTAGAGGCATCAG